TAATTCCTTACAACATTTAGCTGGAAGGCAACTGGAGAGAGGCCAGATGACTCAGAATTTTCTTGGTTCGCAAAGATAAGGAAACGGTTCTCAAGGTGGTTACGAGGAGGATTTCTAATACAAGAAAGGTGTCTGACAAGGAAAACAGAAATCCTCAGATAGTCCATGTAATTCCCTTTGTACACTGACAGAACACTGACGTGTGTGGTGAGCTGGAAGGACCGGAACAGCACAGGCGACACTGCGCCACAGTACTCCGGGCGTGCGGCGGGGAGGGCTTTGGGAGGAGTGGAGACTGTCAGGAAGTTAGGGAAGATACTGAGACCTGCTAGGGAGGAATCAGGATTTGGTTTAAAAAAAAAAAGTAAATGTCTAAATCTTATAACTCAAAATGAATGGTGGTATGAGAGATAAATGAAAATTTGGAGAGCCAGATTGAAGGATTTAAATTTTATTTAGTCCTTTGATGAATTCATCTAACATACACACTGAGTACCTCCTATTTAGGATTTAGTGTTGATGAAATAAAGACAGCTGGTCTAATCTCAAGGAGTTTATTATCCAGATGAGGGAAAACATTGTCCAAATCATTACACAAATCAATTTAAAAGTGCAGCTGTGACGGAGGCTCAGAGGAGCTAGCTATGGGAAATCCTAGATAGAGGGATCTGACCTAATCAAAAGTGTGCAGGTGATTTCTAAGAAAGTAAAAACTTGAGCAGATTTGTAAAAGCTGAATAGGACCAAAGAGAGGAGGAAAACATTTTCAAGGAAGAAGTGGCGTTTTCAGTGTTGAACTAGAGATGATGGCATTGAAATGAAAGATAGCTTGAAGGCATTTGTAAATAGAAACTGGAATTTGGGGAGGGGTTTTCAAATTTAGTAAAAATTGAAAGCTGAGTCTAGGAGAGTAGATAGAGGTAGAAAAGTAGATTGCTGAGCTAGGAACCTTTATGAATAATCACAATTTGGAGACAGGAGAACTAACAAATACAAACTAAAAGGAAAAAGAGATGAACTGATTCAGTTTAAAAAAAGAAAAAAGGTTTGAAGAGCTACTTCGAAATGGCCCTCTCCTTCCAAAAGGCACCTCACCTCCTGGCTTTCTCTCTGGGGTGCTTTCCCTTGCCCTTCCCTGCTGACTTGGTCCCTTCGCAAATAAACTTCTCTGTCTGCAACAGAAAGAGAGAAAAAAAAAAAAAAGAAATGGCTGGTTTATTAATTAACTAATTAATTAAATTTTTATTTATATTGGAAAGTCAGATATACAGAGAGGATCAAAGACAGACAGGAAGATCTTCCATCCGATGATTCACTCCCCAAGCAGCTGCAACAGCTATAACTGAGCTGATCTGAAGCCAGGAGACAAGGGCTTCGAGCCTCTTCTGGGTCTCCCATGCGGGTGCAGGGTCCCAAGGCCTTGGGACGTCCTCCACTCCTTTCCCAGGCCACAAACAGGGAGCTGGATGAGAAGTAGAGCAGCTGGGACATGAACTGGTCCCCAGTAGTGAAATCTAATTTGAGGGCCCAGTGCAGTAATCCAGTGGATAAAGTCCTCACCTTGCACGTGCCGGGATCCCATATGGTTGCCGGTTTGTGTTCTGGCTGACCAGCTCCCATCCTGCTCCCTTCTTGTAGCATAGGAAAGCAGTCGAAGAAGGCCCAAAAACTTGAGACCCTGTACCCGCGTGAGAAACCTGGAAGAGGCTCTGGGCTCTTGCTTTTGGATTAGCTCAGCTCTGGCCATTGCAGCCCCTTGCGGAGTGAATTATTAGATGAAAGGTCTTCTCTGTTACTCCTCCTCTCTGTATATCTGACTTTCCAATAAAAATAAATAAATCTTAATTAAAAAAAATATTTCATTACCAACAAGCTTCTGTTCTGTTTCTAAACATTCAGACTTGGGTCTGTCTCCATTGGGTAACCATTCTGTGGTATGAGGTTCTTTTTGTGGGAAAGAGGCTTTTCTGGGTGTTTTTGGTCAGTATTCCAGTTCAGCCCTGCCCTTCATCATTAATAGCTCTTGAGTATTATCATGATAATCACTGTGAAAAATTTGTATTTCTTCAGTTCAACAAATTTCAACTTTTTAAAAATATATATATTTATTGGAAAGGCCGATTCACAGAGTGAAGGAGAGACAAAGATCTTCCATCTATTGGTTTACTTCCCAAGTGGCCACAATGGCCAGAGCTGATCTGATCTGAAGCCAGGAGCCAGGAACTTCTGCCAGGTCTCCCACAAGGGTGCAGGGTCCCACGGCTTTGGTCCATCCTCTACTGCTTTCCAAAGCTACATGCAGGGAGCTGGAAGGGAGTTGGAGCAGCTGGGACATGAACTGGTAGTACCCATATAGGATCCCAATTACTTTACATATTTACTTGCAGCATTTCAAGTGAGGATTTTAGCCACAAGGCTACAGCACTGGGCCCCAAATTTCAACTTTGAAACTATATTAGTTAATTTAGTTAGCATTATACTGCATCTCTGTGTGTTTAGAGCTTATTTTGAAAATGTGAGGCCAATTCAAGTGACACATTAGAACATTTGAAATGATAGCTGAAGGGTAGGTATTGTGGTACAGTGGTATGGACTGCACCTTGGGACGTCTGCTTCTTGTAATACCCAGGATCAAGACCTACTTCTGTTTTAGAGCCAGCTTCATACTAATCATACCTAGGAGGTGGCAGACGATGGCTCAAATACTTGGGCCCTTTTCTCACCCACATGGGAGTAGAGTTCCTGACTCCTGACTTTATGTTCCCTGTCCATATTGGACCACCAGTATTTGGGTCCACGTTCTCCCAGTTTCAGCCTGCTGCTAATACAAACTGTAGGAGGCAGCTGGCAGTGGCTCAAGTAATTGGGTTCCTGCCCCTGACATGGGAATCCCAGAATGAATTCTGGGCTCCTGGCTGCAGCCTGGCCCCTTGTGGATCTCTGAGAAGTGAAATATGTGTCTGCCCTCTGCCTTTCAAATAATTAAGTATGTTTGAATATTAAAATTGTATTGTAGTTGAAATGCAAGGGCGTGAGGAGAGCAGGCCTTATTGTGTCTACTGACTTTTATTTACCCAACATAGGAAATACAGCCAGAGTTCCAGGCCTCCTGTTCCAGAGTATGTGGCTTCTGACAGTGAAGACTCAAAGGAATTTGGGTAAGTCCTCTCCTGTCCTGGCATGGCAGGCGAGCTCCCGAACTCGATGGTTCTTACGGGCATTAAATGTGCTAGAGTGAAGGACAGTAAACTGTTGTTCTGAACCATGTTCTGTGTGTAGACAGTTGTTAACAAATCTGTTATTTTATTATCACAGGGATGAAAGTAAGCCTCAAGACCAAACCTTCATCACTCAGCAAGTTCCAATATCAGACTGCTCTGGTGAAATGATGTTACCCAGTATCCCACAAGGATCGCAAGAGTAACACAGTAAGGAGTCGGTAATTTAATGCAACAATACCCGTGACTGCTAACTGTGCCCTAGGAGCTGCTTGCTGACCCACAGTTCTTTTCTACTGTCCAGAAGTTCTCAGGGAGCAGTGGAATAAGTAATAATCAACACTGCAGTGAGCTCACGGATCTTCTAACATCATCTACACTCTAAGTAGAACATATATATAATGCAAATGCGAATTTGTGCTCTTTCACTATGAAAAACCTATAGGTTGCCTTGTGACAGAAGCAGTCTAACACAAATGTGTATTATCTTTTATAAAAGAATAAACATAATCATCCTGTGACTCCTGGCTTTGGACTCAGGTGTGAAGTCTGAATTACTACAGCCTGGGAGACAAAAGCTTTAGAACAAAGTATGATGTCATCAACAAAAAGGCATATTGTTTCTCCTGAGGGCTTTGTTTAAAAAAAGATTTATTTATTACTCTTGCAAAGTCAGATATATATATATAGAGAGAGAGAGAGAGAGGAGGAGAGACAAGAAGATCTTCTATCTGATGACCTCCCCCACCCAAGTGACCAGAATGGCCAGATCTACACCAATCCAAAATCAGGAGCCAGGAGCTCCTCCAGGTCTCCCACACAGGTGAAGGGTCCCAAAGCTTTGGGCTATCCTCTATTGCTTTCCCAGGTCACAAGCAGGGAGCTGGATGGGAAGTGGGGCTGCTGGGACCAGACCCAGTGCCCATATGGGATCCTGGAGCACACAAGGTGAGGACTTCAGCCTCCAGGCCACTGTGGTGGGTCCTTGACGGGTTTTTTATTTGTAATCTGTTAGTCATAATCAGTATAATGTAAAATCTGAAAGATTTCACATGAGGCTGCATTAGATTTTTAAAAAGCACGAAAAAAATTTTAAACTGTTACAAACATGAACCTAGCTACTGATTTTTTTTCCACCCATGAAATTATCCTGAGCAGCAAGAGTTAAAAGTTTTGAGTGGGGCCGGGTGTGGTGGCGCAAGTGGTTAAAGGTCCTCGCCTTGCACCCCCGGGATCCCATATGGGCACCGGTTCTAATCCCGGCAGCCCCGCTTCCCTTCCAGCTCCCTGCCTGTGGCCTGGGAAGGCAGTCGAGGACGGCCCAAAGCTTTGGGAACCTGCACCCGCGTGGGAGACCCGGAAGAGGCTCCTGGCTTCGGATCGGCATAGTATCGGCCCGTTGCGCTCACTTGGGGAGTGAATCATCGGACGGAAGATCTTCCTCTCTGTCTCTCCTCTCTGTATATCCGCCTTTCCAATGAAAAAATAATAAAAATAAATCTTAAAAAAAAAAAAAGTTTTGAGTGAATTGGTCAAATGAGTTGATTCCAATGACTGCAGTACAGTTCTGATTAATTAGCATCTTAAAGTGACTTAAATGTAAGGAAAATGTTACTATGTAGTGACCTCTATTTAACCTACTCTATAGTTGTTGAGTTGGATTAAATATCACCTTTGTCAGTTGTGATAAAAGCTAAAACAAAGGTCAGTACATCCTCAAATTATAAATTTCTATTATCTCATCTTCAGGAAGGAAACAAAGATGAAGGACCAAGTAGGGTCATCTGTCAGCATATTTTATTAAAGGTGTAGACACCTTAAGTGATTGAAGAGTGACATTCTGTGCAGCAGGTGGTTGTAAATGACCCTGAAACACAGAGTGCACAGCCTTTCCGAGGTTTTCTGCTATGCTTAGTTCTCTCAATAATCTCCGTGGGCAAGTTAGCACTAGCCAAGAAACTAATGAGGAGGCATAAAAATAAATGATCTATGCCACTTGGCAAAGGACCAAATATTACATGAGAGGTCGCAGCCTACTTCTGGCTCAGAAAGCCGCTTTCACTCAGGATGGTGAATCAAGAATCTGTTCTGTTTAGCACATCTGTTTCTGACAAAAGGAAGGATAAAGGCAATTCAATTAGTAGCAGCATAACAGTAAAAAAAAAAAACCTTTCTTTTTTACTTCTTTTATAATAAAAAAAACTTTGAAATTTCTTCAAATAAGTATTCTACATGAAGAGTTCTTCCATTAAAAAATGCCACTAATAGAAATGCAGGAAAGGGAAGAACACAAAACTTGGCAAGTAGTAGGCTAAACTTGCTTAAGGCAAGAGTCTTAATCCACTTTCATGATTGGAATACTTAATGATTTGTAGGTCTAAAATAACTTTTGAACTGATTCTTTAAGACTATTGGGATCTGAGTAAATGGCTGACGCATCAGTTAGTAAGTACTAAAGCAAACCTGAAACTTAACACTTGGCAGATGTCGCAGAAGGGTGATTTACACATGGTGTCCTAGGGTGTCCTGGAGAAGCGAGTAAAGAAGCCAGAGCAGTGACAGTGACGGAGAGAAATCACAGCCATGAATCGCAAGGACAGGAAAATGGCATCCAGTGGAAAGGAAAGCAGGAGCTGTCACAATGTTGTAACAAGCAGAATGGATTCTAATTTGTGTGAGATGCATGTGAAATTCAGGACAACTTTTAAAGCAGGCTTTACTGCACCGGCATTTGTGCAGGGCTGTGATGGAGGTTTAATCACACGGTGAATCATTTCTGTCCGGACGTCTAAGAGCTTTCCCAAATATTGAAAGGTCTTGTAGAAACTCAAGTCATCAGAGAAGGGGAGCATTTTCAGAAAACTGCTCTATGCTCTTATTTCAGATAAACATCTCACAATTAAAACAGTTATTTCAGAAAAGAAGAATGAAGAACAAGTGAAAGTCTAGTTTCATGATTAGATGAGGATTCTCCCTATAGCAACTTTGAAAGGGGGCATTAGTCCTGAGAAATAATTCAGTTACAATGGATGCTGATCCCCAGGATACGACCCGATCAAGGTGGCAAATGGACTGGGCAAGACCAAAGTGAGATTGGTTGAGGTTGGCTGAGTCTGTCCCAGGTTTGTTTCTAACGGCCCATGGTAGGCATGACTACAGCAGGTGTTGAAAGAGTAGCATCTTCTTCTTTCCACTGAGATGTGATAGTCTTTAGTTGAGTGTAGAACTGGATGCCCTAAATAGAACAAAGGAAAAACAAAAAGTTGACATTGGAAGGAAGTGCTCTGAGTGCTACTCATGTTCCTGTTTGAGGAAGAGGCATAATCAAGCAAGATCCAGTTTTACTATTTGTTAGATAATCTACTTAAAAAATATTTTCCATAGGGCCCGGCGCGGTGGCGCAGTGGTTAAGGTCCTCGCCTTGCACGCCCAGGATCCCATATGGGCGCCGGTTCTAATCCCAGCAGCCCCGCTTCCCTTCCAGCTCCCTGCCTGTGGCCTGGGAAAGCAGTTGAGGATGGCCCAAAGCTTTGGGACCCTGCACCCGCGTGGGAGACCCGGAAGAGGCTCCTGGCTTTGGATCAGCATAGCATCGGCCGTTGCGCTCATTTGGGGAGTGAATCATCGGACAGAAGATTTTCCTTTCTGTCTCTCCTCTTTTCTGTATATCTGCCTTTCATATAAAAATAAACAAATCTCTAAAAAATATGTAAATAATGAGAGTTTCAAAGTGGTTTATATCTGTGGTCCTATAAAGGACTTGTATTAAACAAATGTTTGGGAAGCTTATGTACCATGCAGTGCAGATAATAACACAGTAATCCAGTGGCTTAGAGTTCAGTATTTCACCAGGCCTCTTCCTGCCTTAGGACACATGTGCCTGCTGAAAGGTTGTAGTGGTGATTTAGTCCTCATAACCCTGTTAAATCTCAGTATCACTGTTATTGTCTCTACACATGAAGAAATTTGAGGCATACAAGGATATGCTCTGATATCACACAGCCAGTAAAGGACTGAACTGCACTCTGAACCCAGGCAGTTTGGTTCTGGAACTACTTTCTTGTTCAGTATACTCCTAGTTTCTGGAATAGTGTTTGGTATAAGAAAGGTGCCCACTACAACGTTGTGTGAACGAGTACAATTATAGGAGAAACAGGTGCCGATGGAACAACCCACTGACTTTGAGGAAGAGAAGGGGGCTGTTTAGAGGTGGTTTTCTGGAGGTGTCTATTTAAACTGAGACATGACAGCAGTAGCCAGACTAAAGAGGCGGGATGGGAAAGAGGGTCTCAGGCAGAAGAAATGGCAAATACAAAGTCTTCTGTTTCCCCATGATCTTTCCTCAAAATGTGCATTAAGTTATTCAGAAGGCAGCATCTTAATGTTTACATTTTTTCTAGGGAAATTTCTGAGACCCACTGCTGAACAACACATGGTCCCAGCGAAGCTGCTGGCAGAATCCTCATTCCCGAGATGTTAAAGAAAGTTTCTTAAAGGAAAAAATATTATTTTATTCAAAAGTTACCTGTTTGCCATAGAAGTTGGTGTCTCCCCTGAAGGAAGATCTAGAACCAGTGAATGAGAACATTGGCAAAGGCACTGGAATGGGAACATTCACTCCCACCTAATACGGAAAAAGTTCATTATCAGACACCAAGCAAAGAACTCAAAGAACCCCCTCCACAAGGAAGCACAGAGGTATCCAGTACCCAGCCTCCACCCCAGGAAGCTCGTGTGTCTTAGAAGAAAGGAAAGCACCATGGGAGATTAGAGGCACAGTCTTTAAGCAAGTTTGCCTCACTGATCACTGTTTGGAATCTCCTCTTAGGGAGAAGATACTATATTAACTAGAGCAGTCTCCTAAAAATACTGTTCACAAACCTGTCCGACGTCCACCAGGTGGGAGTATTTCCGAGCAGTGGCTCCATTCGTAGTGAAGATGGCGGTTCCATTTCCATACGGATTGTCATTTACGATCTTAATGGCTTCATCCAATGTTTCCGTCTCCAGAACCACAAGCACTGGACCAAAAATTTCTTCTTTGTAACAGGTCATATTTGGCTGCCAGGAAGGATGCACCAGGAAATCAAGCCTTTTGCATTTTGAGCATTTTACACTTAATTGGTACTTTCAGTAAGCATCTATATAAACAGATTCCACGTTAGGGACCTTTTCATTTTAAATCACCTACTGTTCATTTTCAGTCACCTACTAAAAAAAGTCCTCTCTTACTGTGTCCAGTCTTCTAAACAATCAATTATATAAACAATCTAAAATTCTCACTAACAAAATAACCATATTCCTTTAAAATTTTCATTTCCATGAGCAATTACTGGCATCCTGATACCTATTACAACCAGTTTCATGTAATGGGAATGTTTCAAAAAAAGTACACGAAAACAAATTTTCCTATGTATTAAAAACAACAGAAGAATGTCTGTGCTTAGAGAAATCTTGTGCTAAGTTCTCTGTAACAATGGCAGTCTGTTCTCATTCACTCTTGTTTCCTCCAAGTTGGTTCATTTACATTTTGTTAGTGTTACTGGTTACAATTAAACATTCAACATTCAACTTTTGATTACTCAGGATTTACAGCAGGGATGTGTGAACTTCAAAACAGCCTCAGAAACTCAATTTAGTCCTGTTAGCTGAGATACTTTTATAGTCTTAATAAATAAAAATTAAACAATTCTTTTCTTTTTTTCCCCTACTTTCTGGTGAAGACATTCTAAACTCTATGCACAGGGTACAAGGTATTCAATAAATATTGAGTAGTTGACTGAGACAGTGCAGTAACTCTGAGCCAGGCAGCAAAAAGGAGAGGAGAGGAAAAGGCACAGTAAATAAATGACACAGCAGAAGGTAAGACAGCTGGGAGGTTAGACAGCCTCTGGGCCAAACATGGTTGTTGCCAAACGTGGTTGTTGCTCTATTTTTATGCAGCCCACAAACTAAGCAAAGTTTCTGTATTTTTTTTCTCAAAGAGTTTATGTATTTTTAAGTGGTTGAGAAAAACATTTCATGGCCTATGAAATGATCTGAAATTAAAAATTTCAGTGTCCATAAATAAAGTGTTAGTGGAGCACAGCTATACAATGTTTATGGCTGATTTTGCACTGACTGTTATGTCAGAGTTGACATAGTCTCTGCAAAGCACAGAGCATCCCCTTATGAAAAGGGTGCTCAGAGCCAGTATGGTAAAAAGGACTAGTTTAGTAAGATAATCGAGCAGTCCTGGCAGGAGACAAAGTCTGACATCATGACATATTCTCACGTATATATTACAGGAATGAGAAACTATAGTCTCTAAGGGTCTTCAGCTCTCATACTTGTGAAATAAATAAGAACTGTTCACCTTTACATTGGAGATGATGGTTGGTCCAACAAAGTTACCATTTTCGTAGCCTTTCACTTTAATTTTTCGCCCATCAAGAAGGATGGAAGCGCCCTCCTTTGGTCCACTTTCAATCAGGTTACAGACTCGTTCTTTGGCCTGGGGAGTTATCAGAGGGCCAAGATCAGCCCCAGGCTGGTCTCCTGCAAAATAATGTTAAAATACTTTAGGTCTTCGTCAATATGAATTATGACTGCTAACAAGAGATGTATCCAAATGGCAATTAAAGTGTAAGGAGAAGCAATGGTAGGGAGAGACATAATTGCTCCCATTGGTCAAAGCCAATGCTAACACTAAGGGTCTAGTGCCACGAATGCAGTGAGTAGAGGAGGCAGGCAGAGAACAGGAGACCTGCGTTGACTCTCAGGTTCTTGGCACGTTCCACCAGCTCTGGCAGCCACTTCCTGGCTTCTCCCACAAGGATTGCTGTTGAAAGAGCCATGCAGCGCTGACCAGCAGCTCCAAATGCTGCCCCAACCAACTGGTTCAGTGTATTTTCCTTATTGGCATCTGGCATGACCACCCCATGGTTTTTGGCTCCCTAAAGAAACATAAAAGGTTCATGAGTCTCCCTGAGCCAAATACAGTTTTAAAAAACTTAGCAAGGAACCAAAAGTTTCAAATGAAACTAGAGAATTCAACCTTGGGATCTATTAAGCAATTCTGCATGTCACTTTTCTATTTTCCAGCTGATAAAAAGCTGACATGTATTTAGTCAAAACCATTACCAAAACAGAATAAAAACCAATCGCATTCAAAATGCATCCATAAGCCAAAAAAAAAAAAAGCTCCCTTCCCTTTCATGAGGCAGATATAGGAAAGAATTCATGCCTGTTGGGGGTTCCCATTTACATAAAAAGCATGTAAACTCAATTTGCAGTAATAATGCTACATACATTCCAGAAAGGTCTCTCAACTTGGCTAGTTTCTAGATACATAGCTTTGTGTAATTCTTTGCTATGTACAATATTTAGTCATCTCTACATTTAAGTTTCCAGATAAAACCACAGCTGAGGGCCTGGCGGCGTGGCCTAGCGGCTAAAGTCCTTGCCTTGAACGCCCTGGGATCCCATATGGGTGTCGGTTCTAATCCCAGCAGCTCCACTTCCCTTCCAGCTCCCTGCTTGTGGCCTGGGAAAGCAGTCGAGGACGGCCCAAAGCTTTGGGACCCTGCGCCTGTGTGGGAGACCTAGAGGAAGTTCCTGGATGCTGGCTTCGGATCGGCCATTGCGCTCACTTGGGGAGTGAATCATCGGATGGAAGATCTTCCTCTCTGTCTCTCCTCCTCTCTGTATATCTAACTTTCCAATAAATAAATAAATCTTAAAAAAAAAAAAAACCACACAGCTGAAAGTGTGGACACATAACCCACAACTGCTGCTTAATTCCAAAACACATCATTTTGGACACATAAATACATTCAGAATGGAGTAAACTAGAAGGGGCTTCAGTCAAAATGACCAAAAATCACTCAGCCACTGTTCATTCAGCGGGCATATCATGAACAGTTTCTAAGCCAGTGTACAGATGGCTGTCCTTGGTGCATCATTAGCTTATGAAGGATGAGAAAGGGGACTTCATGCTTAGTATCAAAGATTTCCTAAGTATTTGGCAAGGAACTAGTAAGAAAACAGCAAAACACCACGACCAAGGAAATGAAGCCAACTGTTCCTTAAGTAGCCTTTAGCAGACTGGAAACTTGGGGAAGATCTTTGATCTAATAGGGTAAATCTTAAAATAAGAAAGGATTAAGGATGAAAAGCATGGTATAAAAGAAGAAACAGGACCAGAACCAGAACTGGACTGTTACTGTGGAAGCCTGGGAACCGGATTAACACTCTCAGGGAGGACTGCCGTGTGTCCTGTGTCGCCTACATAGATGTAGGCTGAGAGGTGACTCTCTTGACTTACAACCGTCTCACGGCTAAAGAAAAGACTTTTGGGATGAGAGCAAGTGCCCTTTTGCTGAGCTGCTCCAAGGAAACTTAAATATAATGCAGTTTGGAGATAAAAGGAGTAAGAAGTCACCATATTGGCTTGAACTCTCTTGCCGTTTCTTGATCCTCTCTCGAAGATGTACTCTCCTGCCTGGTTGGAGCCCACAAAGCTGATTGCTTTGATGTCCGGATGATCACAGATAAAATTTACAGCTTTAAGAAGAAAATAAACAATCAGCAGAGAGAAAGAAAGAAATGGCCACCAGCTTTTCAGCACAACACATTTCTCTCTTTTGCCCACTGCTATGAATTGTAAGTTCTCATGTACTTCTTTCCTCCACACTGGATTCCCCTTACCAAGTTCTCTCTTGCCTTTTCCACTTAAATTCTTTAATTTATAAAATGTATTTCACTTCTTCCCTTTCATTATTTTTCTTATCTGCCTTGTAATATTCCTTGTTCTTTAAGAATGTGATATTTCGGGCCCGGAGCGGTGGCGCAAGTGGTTAAAGGTCCTCGCCTAGCACGCCCAGGATCCCATATGGGCGCCGGTTCTAATCCCGGCAGCCCCGCTTCCCTTCCAGCTCCCTGCCCGTGGCCTGGGAAAGCAGTCGAGGACGGCCCAAAGCTTTGGGAACCTGCACCCGCGTGGGAGACCCGGAAGAGGCTCCTGGCTTCGGATCGGCATAGTATCGGCCCGTTGCGCTCACTTGGGGAGTGAATCATCGGACGGAAGATCTTTCTCTCTGTCTCTCCTCTCTCTGTATATCCGCCTTTCCAATGAAAAAATAATAAAAATAAATCTTTAAAAAAAAAAAAAAAAAAAAAAGAATGTGATATTTCTGGGCCCAGTACAGTGGCCTAGTGACTGAAGTCCTTGCCTCACACATCCTGGGATCCCAAATGGGCACCAGTTGCTTCTAATCTGGTGGCCTCGCCTCCCATCCGGCTCCCGCTTGTGGCCGGGGAAGGCAGTTGAGGACAGCCCAAAGCCTTGGGACCCTGCACCCATGTGGGAGATCCAGAAGGGCTCTTGGCTTCAGATCAGCTCAGCTCCAGCCGTTGTGGTTACTTGGGGAGTGAATCATTGGATGGAAAAGCTTTCTCTCTGTCTCTCCTCCTTTCCCTATAAATATATATATCTAACTTTGCAATAAAAAATAATTTTAAAAAAAGAATAATGTGATAATTTCAGGCCTGGTGCAATATTCTAGCACCAAATCTCTCCTTGCATGCACTGGGATCCCATATGGGCACCAATTCTAATCCTGGAGGCCCTGCTTCCCATCCAGCTCCCTGTTTGTGGCCTGGGAAAATAGTGGAGGATGACTCAAAGCCTTGGGGCCCTGTACCCGCATGGGAAACCCAGAAGAGGCTCCTGGTTCCTGGCTTCAGATCAGCTCAGTCCTTGCTGGTGCAGCCGCTTGGGGAGTGAATCAGTGGATGGAAGAACTTCCTCCCTGTCTCTCCTCCTCTCTGTATATCTGATTTAACAAAAACAAAAATCTATATTGTTGAGAACAAAATTTTTTTTTAAAGATTTATTTTTATTATTTTTTCATTGGAAAGGCGGATATACAGAGAGGAGAGACAGAGAGGAAGATCTTCCGTCCGATGATTCACTCCCCAAGTGAGCGCAACGGGCCGATACTATGCCGATCCGAAGCCAGGAGCCTCTTCCGGGTCTCCCACACACGGGTGCAGGGTCCCAAAGCTTTGGGCTGTCCTCGACTGCTTTCCCAGGCCACAGGCAGGGAGCTGGAAGGGAAGCGGGGCTGCCGGGATTAGAACCGGCGCCCATATGGGATCCCGGGCGTGCAAGGCGAGGACCTTTAACCACTTGCGCCACCGCGCCGGGCCGAGAACAAAATTTTAAAAAAAATTTTTTTAAATGCGATATTTCCTCAATTGTCAGCATGTGCTGCGACTCTCGATGACAGATGTATACTCGTGTGACAGGATTTATACAACATAGTAATTAAAAGCCAAAGGTAGAGCTAGCTTTTCTGGGTCCATGCACATATGGTAATTTCTAACAGTATGACTTTGGGCAAGTTATTTAATTTCACTCTGTTTCAATGTTCCTGCCAAAAGAGACTGTCATACAGATTAGGTGAGCTTATGTGTAAAAAGTACTAGAACAGTGCCTGAAACACAGAGCATAAAGTATTGACTATTAATGCAAGAGTTAGAAGATCTTCCATCTGAGATCTAAAAATTCTGAGTTAAAAAGTACCTTAATGAATTCCATCAATACTAAAGCTTAAACTCTCTTCAATCTCAACGCATATTTCTGGTGTCCCCAAGCATGGTGTAAGTTAAGAAGCAGTGCTAATCCCAGATGGTTAGCCATCTCAGCATACAGAGCTGGAAACCTGTCACCAAGCATTCTTTTCTCATCCTAAAAGCCCCAGTCACCACTCAGCACCTTGAGCATAGCTGGATCTAGGTAGCGAAATGCAGAAGAGCAGTTACCTTCATGTTGCCCGTGGATGATGTTCAATGTTCCATCAGGGGCCCCTGAGTCCTGCAGCAACTTAGCAAGAAGCATGGTTGCTCCGGGAACTCGCTCTGATGGTTTCATCAGGAAGGTATTTCCGCACACCATGGCCATGGGAAACATCCAGAGGGGGATCATGGCAGGAAAATTGAACGGAGCGATGCCTGCGCATACACCCAGGGGCAGGCGGTAGGAATAGAGGTCCATGTCTTTAGTGATGGATGGCATGGTCTCTCCCAGCATGAGGGATGTCACACTGCAGGCATGCTCCACCACCTCTGGAACAGAGAAGAAGTCAGGCCACCAGCTCTTCACGCTATGTACTACTTAGCGGTGTCATGCTCAGGCCTTCTATCAAGGGGCTGTGCAAAACGTGATTCTCTGAATAGGGAAAAGACAGTGAGATACACACACACACACACACACACCGCAAGATCACTGGAGTCAAAGGATCAGATAAACCCTACTTGCAGATACCTGACAAGTACTACAAATTTAAAAAAAAAAAAAATTTTAAGTATTTTTTTAAGTATCAATAGTAAAGACGACTTAAAGAAGCAATCTCCCACTCTGGAATCGGCCTCCCAGCTTCCTTTTCCCTTCCCAGAAAGTCCCTGGAGGAACTCCCAGCTTACGAAGGCCTCGAAATACATCTCCTTCAGCATCTGCTAAGGTTTTCCCTTGTTCTAGTGTGATTAACTTGGCGATTTCTTTCTAGGGAGAAAACACACATATAGAAATGAATGTAAGAATGTTTCTCCCATTCAACTCTCAGGTATGCAAGGAAGAGCACCAGTGAGGGAGAAGCAGTGACAAGCCAGAGACCCAAAGCAGGGTAGTTAGGGAGGGCAGCTAAAAGGATCTTTGGAGGAGGGGCATGCACCCTGCAAGCAGCGCTGGAACACTGCCCCCTTCAGGTTTCTTACCAAGTTTTCCTTAATAAGTTGTTGATAGCGGAGCAGGACCTGCTGACGGCTGAGTATGGATGTGTCTGCCCAGGCAGGAAAAGCACGTTTGCAGGAGGCAACGGCTGCATCCATCTCAGCCTTGGTAGAGTGAGGCACCCGGCCAATGACTTCATTGGTGGCCTGGCAGGGAAAAGCAGCATGTTAATCTTTGTCCCCGCTCCACCTTGTCCAGGTTCCCCTGAGTCACAGAGATGGCACTCTGTCCCCACCTTTTCACCAGGTTCCCTGAATCCCCAGTTTAAGCCCCAAAGGAACTTGGCTTACTGGGTTGTGGATGTCAATCCATTTGTCACTTTTGGATTCAATGAATTTCCCATCAATAAAGAGCTTCACAGTTGGCTGAGGGAAAAAAATAAAAGGACTTGTGAATTGCATTCCTTCTCCTTTTCTTTCCTTTTGTAAACAAGAAGGAAGATTAATAATTGCATCTTCTGGTCTCTAGAAGGATAACCACTAGAAAAGATGTGTTGTAGTCTGTGACACCAGCCTCCCATATGGTAGCTGGTTTATGTCCATGTTGCTCCACTTCCTATCCGGCTCCCTGTTTATGGATTGGGAAAAGCGTCAGAAGATGGCCCAAGTATTTAGGTCCCTGCCACCACATGGGAGACCCAGATAAAGCTCCTGGCTTCTGGCTTGACCTATACTGGGCTGTTGTGTCTCTAGGGATTGATTCATCGGATGGAAGATCTCTGTCTCTCCCCTTATCTCTTTAACTATTTCAAAACAAATCAATAAATCTTATCTTTTAAAAGATATATTTATTTTTATTTTTATTGGAAAGGCAGATTTACAGAGAGGAAACACAGAAAGTGACTCCACAACAGCCCAGAGCTGAGCTGATCTGAAGCCAGGAACCAGGAGCTTCTTCAGGGTCTCCCACATGGGGCAGGATCTCAAGGCTTTGGTCCATCCTCTACTGCTTTCCCAGGTCACAAGCAGGGAGCTGGAAAAGAACTAGAGCAGCCAGGATATAAACTGGCACTCATATGGGATCCTGGCACATGCAAGGTGAGGATTTAGCCACTAGGCTATCACACTGGACCCCAAACCTTATTTATGTTTTTTTTTTCTTAAAGAAAGGATGTAGCAGAGCCTCTTAATACTCTTTGAAAACTGGAAGTTCCCCACTATTCATACAGTGAGCTTCCAGTGCTGATCTGAAGTGCATCTACTGAAAATGCAGCACTTCTGTGTTAACAAAGACCCCTCCCAGTGCCTTGGCCCAGCTGATTCTCTGCCATGGTACCACAAACATGGATTACCTTGACAGTGGAAAGATTTGTTAATGATGATGTGCGAGCTTTTTTTTTTTTTCCTTCCAGGAGCAGCTCACTTTCACTACCCTTCACTACCCTGTGAACATGTGTGGATCAGATTCCCGCTGCAGTAACTGAAAGCCTGAAGGAGGGTCATTTACAAAAGAGAACCCAGTTCTGGGGCTGCATGTCTAGGATGGGGCAGTCACACCTGGCACTGGCCTCGTGCTGCCTCCTAACACGGTGCAGAGGTGAAGGGTGAGTGGTTGGTGCGGAGAGACAGGGAATGAGAGATGGCCTCACTCTAACTTCTCGCTCTCAACAGATTGCCACAAATCCTGCTTAAGGACCTCACCTCCAAACACAGCCACTGTGGAAAAAGAATCTTAACATGAGTTTTGGAGGGGACATATTCACACCACCACTGGATCTGGCAGTGCATCCTTCCATTGAGTGCATCCTTCCATACGAGAGGGTTTGGGGTTGCAGTCTTTATTAGGTTTATTAAGTTTATTAGGTTTTAGGTGCCACAAATGACTGACGAACAGGTGGTCTGGAAAAATTATTCTAAAGATTGTTAAGCAGAAAGTGACTATCTGAGAAGGTAAACAAAACCTCTAAAAACCATGGATGTATTATTTGACCCAATAGTCCTATTTCAGAAGGGAAATATTCCAAAAGAAGATAAAATAATATATATACTTTCTATAGTACAGGAAAAAAAATGAAGCCATCTAAATATGCATGAAAAAAATATGAGTTCAACCTAACTTGTACTCCATAGAATATTATGCAGTCATTAGAAATCCTAATTATAAAGATCATCTTTCAGTGTTGAAAAATGCTTACAACTTAATACACCTAAGGCAAGAAAACCAAGATAGAAATGTCACATATCCTCAGGTCACAAGCATGCAAAGAAAATCAAAGAGAATACTCCTGCTGGGTCTTCTCTCAGAATTCTACCTTGAGAGCCAAACACACTTACCACTGAAGAAGAGAAAGAAGATGCTGGGTACCAGCTGTAGTTCACCTTAGAAGAAACCTGTGAGAAAAAAAATATATGAAAAGATTATTTTGATAAATGAGAACAGAAAACTATTAAAAACTTAGAGGATATACTATCTCTGCATTATTAGCAACTGTAGTTAAAAAGAAAAAAAAAAGACTCAAGTGTTCACTCTCAAAGAGCATTTCTGAAGAGATATGAGGCAGGCTTTAAAACTTTTGGGGACTAGCACAAGAGCCTAGTGGATAAATCCTCACCTTGCATCCACTAGGATCCCAAATGGGCCTTGGTTCGTAGAGAAGTCTGACATAAACAATATAAGCTGGATGATTTCTTTTTACGTAAAACTATTCAAACTAACCTGTAGAGTCAGGAAGCAGATCAGCAGTTACCTGGGATGACAGAGAATTGGGTAAGAGGGCTAAGAGGGAAGCCTGATGAATATGAAATGTGCATTATCTTTTTTTAAAATTTATTTTTATTACAAAGTCAGATATACAGAGAGGAGGAGAAATAGAGGGGAAAGATCTTCCGTCCGATGATTCACTCCCCAAGTGAGTGCAACAGCTGGTGCTGCGCCGATCCGAGGCCAGGAGCCAGGAACCTCCTCCAGGCCTCCCACACGGGTGTAGTATCCCAAAGCATTGGGTCGTTCTTGACTGCTTTCCCAGGCCACCAGCAGGGAACTGGATGGGAAACAGGGTCGCCAGGAATTGAACTGGTGCTCACATGGGATCCCGGCGCATTCAAGGCAAGGACTTTAGCTGCTAGGCCATGCCGCCAGGCCCTGAAATGTGCATTATCTTGATTGGGATGTTTTCTCAAGGGTACACAAATGGTAGAACTACTGTGCAGGTCGAATTGCAAACTTTGGCCAGAGCTGGATCAAGCCAAAGCCAGGGACTAGGAGCTTTATCCAGGCCTCCCCTGTGAGTGGCAAGGGCCCAAACACCTGGGCCATCTTCTGTTACTTTTGCTAAACCATTAGCAGGGAGCTGGATCAGAAGTGGAGCAGCCAGTATACAAACCAGTGTCCACTGTGGACAGCAGTTCTACCTGCTAAGTCATAACAACAGCCCCAAACTACACACTTCAAATATGTATCTTCTATATCAATTTTATTATCAGAAACCTGTTTTAAAATGCCACACAGGTGCCTTATAGGAAAAAGATGTGTTACTTTTGTAACATAAAAGCAAGAGTGATGGAGGGTCAATTACAATAAGGCTATTCTCCAACTATAACCTCCCTCCCCAAATGCTTGCATGTATGTTGTCAAAGCTGATTTAAGAAATATTCAAATCTAAGCAAAGTGAGCAAACTGAAACTCAGGTCTGAGATGCAAAAGAAATAACAATCTAATAATTTCTTATCTTGTCTAAAGAGAGACCATCTTAAGGCAAAGGCCTTGGGGTCACATGAAGGCGGAGAGTTTGTATGTCTGCAGTACTTTCCAGGGTTAAGGGCATCACTGGCCTTTGGGCCTAGCAAACACCTAGTGAGCTTCCTCTCCCACTCCACAAGGGCAGGCACTGCCTGTTTTGCTTCCCCATCTCACAGTGACCATGATCACGACTGTGTAGGTGTGGGACATAGCAAGCATGCCTTGGCACTCATTAAATATTACGGTGATGAATATTTATTTGCTTTCACTCTTTCAGAATGAGTGTCAAAACATTCATCTTGGGATCAGCTTTGTGGTGTAGAGGGTAAAGCTGCTGCCTGTGATGCCAGCATCCCATGATGGAGGATTCTTGGATGCTCCATTTCTAACCCAGCTCCCTGCTAATATGACTGGGAAAGCAGTGGAAGTCGGCACCTTGGGCAGAGGCAAACTGGTTAGCCATGCCCTCCTTCCCAGGACTCCTTTCCTCTTCTGGGACATTCTGGCATCTCTTTGGTCACATTCCTGCCTCTTTGTGGGATCACCCTCCCCATAGCTGGCCATTAACCCCGCATTCCTAAAAGTTTGGTTCTAAGCCTTTGGTTCTTTTTCCATTCGCTATCCTTCCACAACTTTATCAGCCGCTGAGGCTGGCTCATCTGATTCCTGATGCTGTCCAATCTGCAGGGCTTCGCCAGGATCTGCTTCTTGAAATAAAACCCACCAAACTGTCTCTATGACATCACTGGCTGTGATTCAGGCCCGTGTTTAAACTTGAACATCACCCCCAACTCCTTCTTCTCTCTCCATGCTGAATCAAACAAATTTTCTTGGCCTTCTGAACTCCTAGAGTTCCGCAGAACAATTATTCTCCCTAGCACTCCTGCTATTTCCCAGCCTTTGTCTCTCATTTGGATTTCCATAACAGCTTCTGAAGGGGTCTCCTATGTCCAATCTGAATCTAATTTTCAAAGCATAAGTACAGGGCCCTTTACAACACAAATTTGACCAGAACCCTTCCCTGGTTTTGAATCCTCCCATGGCTTTCCACAGTTTTCCCTATTTTCTGAGAAGTTGTTTAGGAGGCTCTCCATAGCATCTTCGCTGCTTTAACTTCATGGCTTGCTGCTGTCCTCTCTGCTCTGTGCTCCAGTCACCTGGAACATCCTGTGTGCTCCTGGTTCTTGCTCATGCTGTCTCCTCTTGCCTAGCAGACTGGCCAATTTGCTTGGCTCAGTGCTTTTCCCTCAGGTCCCCATTTGGCCATCACTATCTCCAGGACCTCTTCTGGGCTAATCCTGGCTATGGGCAGTCACAGGCATCTGGATGGATCTCTTTTCCATCTCACCATTATAGAATAACAGCTTGCCAAGATACTAAGTTTCCCTCCACTTCTGCAATAGCACATTGTATCCTCAGCCCCTGGCCGGTTCACCTTTCTAAAGTAACAGCTTGCCAAGTTACTAAGTTTCCCTTCACTTCTATCACTAGCTCATTGTATCCTAGCCGGGTTCCTGGAATGCAGTAAGCAAGCACTCAGTAATACTTAGCAGAAAGGAAAAGACTGAGTACTCAGCAAGCAGTAAATGGATATGAGTGCTGTTCTGTGTGCTCTGTTAGAGGCAGAAAATGCACCAGCTAAGCTGAGCACTCCAGAGCACATGTAGGCTGTACTTTCTCACTTGCACAAAAGGCATCACCACTGGCAGGACATCATTGTATGGTTATTGAAAGATTTGGGTTCCAACCATCTCATTTCCCAAGAAATACTCATTAACAGTATCGCTGAAGGCAAGACTCTTCTGATAACTCACACCAACTTTCTGCCTCCCAGATATTTACTTTCTGCTTTTATTTGCTATACCAGGAACTCCTCTCTCCTCTTGATAGTCTTGTGGCAACACTAAGACACAGAGTTAACCCCTTCTGGAAGCTTTTCCTGATCTGTACAGGTGGCCCTAGAAGCTCTTTCCCTGTGCCTGAGGAATTCCCACTAGTCAGGAATGCACCTGTTGTTATGTTCCCATCAGGGACCTCTCAGTGATGAAAGGCTGAAAGACTGGCACAGTACCCGACGCAGACAAAGATACTAAGATATGAGTCCAGAATTCTCAGCTCCACCAAGCGCTAGGTGACTGACTGGAGGATAACTTCAAGTGTCAGAGAAGTGACTTCACAACATTCCTTGATTCCAATCTTTACAAATCACAACTAGAAAGTGGCGGAATTGGGGCAGAACTCAGGTATGAGTATGCCTGCGAAGTCTGCTCTTACCAGCTCACCGAGGTGAGGTGATAAGAATCTCCTCATCTCTGGATGGGTGTGATGCCGCCACAAGGAGCGGAGATTCTAGGCTCAGACTGAGCAGCCTCAGGAACAGAGGCTGTAAACTAAACATCTCACTCAGCAGAACACTTCAGCCAGCTAAACACTTGAGATAGCTTAATGCCTTAGTCAGTTGAACACTTCCACTCTCACCTTCATAGATCCCTTAGATAGCCTTCTACCAGTCAGGGCTGCCAGAATCTAGAATACTCTGTATCAAAGTGTCACAATACAACCAGGCCCCAGTTGGCTAAGGGCTATCATTTTTGTTCTTTTTCCAGGTCGGTTGGGAAGTTTCACCAAATGATTCTGAAAACTGTTATCTGTTTCTGAAACAAAGCACATGGGATGAGAGATTCCCCAAGTTGGAAGCAAAAACACAAAACATCTGAAGATTCTCAGTAGGCATTAATGGGGGAAGGGAAGGGGAAAAAAGTCAATTTCAGCCCAAGATTTGAAGGAGCAGTTGATAACTGACAAAATAGGGTGGGAACTTTATCTTCTTATTGCTTAAAACCGACTCACACACCAGAGCAGAACTAGAGAATCAAGGCCAGAAATAGGAGTAGAGCCAGTCCATCTGGCAAGCCCCTCCAACCCACGTACCACACTGTGCCACCCAACTCCGACCTTTGTGGACTCTGCCAAGATCCCGAGAAAGGCTTTTGCCTCTGGCAGAACCCACTCAAATAAGGTGCAGGCTAACATGACCTTAAAGTGCAGCCACACACAGAGGTCCCCGCTTGAGCCTAATGAGTCAGAGAGGCATCGTGGCTCCCTGCCTATTGTCAATCTGGCCAGATCCAGGGGAATGTTCTGCAGGGCTAGAGACATGCAGCCGATGCAAGGCAGGACTCAGTTCGACAAGGACAGATGCCAGGGTGTACTGGCACTTGAAAGGGCTTTCTGAGGGGCAGGAGCAGCTCCATCTTCTGCCACCTGTTGTGGAGATGATTAGCCCTCTAAGGGACAAGGAACACTGTGGTGAGCAGAACAACCATAAAAAATCGTTAACTTTAGTGAGAGAAAGTTTAACTGAGTGTTGGTCAAGAACGGCTCCAGCTTGTGGAAAATACAGCCGTTAGCAAACGACTGCTGTGGGTTTTGAAAGCCTGGTGCACATTTACTTGCACGGCGAGATTCAAAGTTCACTCGCTGACCCTCGCCCCTCGCAACCCCCCTCCCTCCCTTACCTCGGTGTATGGAAAGTGAACGGGTTGGGGGGAAGGGAGCCATTTGGAAGCTCCTGGCAGAGGGAAAAACAAACAGAAAGGTGACCAGAAAGAAGAGTTTATGCAGGGAAAAATAAGTAGTAGCTGGTGCAGAGGTGACAGGGAAAGACGGCGAGGGGGCAGTGGATCTACAGATGACAGCGAGTGGCGACAGGGAGCACGCAGGGTTGAGGTCTGTGGGCAAATGAGTGTGTGCGCGCGTGTGTGTGTGGGGGGGGGGCACGGAATGATGGTGCGGGAAGCGGGGAGAAGAAACAAGGCCCCGGGGGTGGGAGGGGAACACAAGGGACGCCCAAGAAGTCTGTCCCGCCCGAGGATGGCTCGGAGCGGACGGGAAGGACCCAGGTCTCAGCTTCGTGGTCCCTTGGTGCCACCCTCACTCGCCTGCAGGATCCGGGCCCGCACGGCTGCCGCCGCCACCACTGCCGCCATGGTTCCCGGCCGCCTCGCCAAGGATCCTCTTGCCTTTCACGGAGGGCGCTTGCCAAAAACACTAGGGCGGCCAGGCCTGCCCCTCCATCCTGCCGGACCTCCTCATTCGTGGAGACGGCCATTTCCCCTAACCAATCACTCGCCGACATAACCCCCGACTCTGCCCCGCACACCTCGCCTGGTGGGTATGGGATTGGGCAGAAGCGGAAGCGCTCGCGGCCCCTCCCACGTCAGGGAATACTATTGGCGGAGAGCGGGAAACCGTCCTGCCTTAGGTACTCCACATTGGATACCCGAGGAAGACGCCCCCTAAGTAGCCACTCCGATTGGCCACAGGAACGATCGAAGCCCCACCTCAGCCTGCTGAGGAAGTAAATAAGACCTTCCAAGAGATTTGCAGTCGCTCCGCCTCCAGAACTGCGAGGGGCGTGGTTGTCCCCAGGGGCCGGGCCAGGCAAGGAATGCCCTACCCGGAGCAGAAACGAGATTAGGCTGCGAGTTGGCGATAGGGTGTCTCCTTAGGGGCGTGGCTTACGGGTCCTCGCTTTCCCGCCGACGGTTGGCCACGTCACGTGACATGGGTTGGAAGATGGCGTCTCCCACAGACGGTAAGAGCCGGGTTAGAGATCCTTTTCTCGCAGCGTCTTCTTTTGCTCCCTTGGGATCTTCCACTCTCCGTGTGCCGCTCTAACGTACACTTGGGTCTTGGGAGCCTCTTCTCGCTCTTCCTTGCTGTGTGTCTCTGTTTTCGCCTCGCCGGTTCTGCACAGCTGTTCCGAGGGTGCCGGGTTTCCCTGGTGTGCACTCAGAGAATGGAGGAGGGTATCCGCGAGAGACCCATCTCAAACACCCGTTTAGCGCAGGACTCTCCTTTCGTCCCATTTGGATGAGGCTGAGGGATGAGGAGCTGATGCTCCGAGAAAGAGGTGCTTTATCAGAGTCTGCTCCTGTTAGGATCGTTTCTATTTTCATTGAGCACGATTGGGACGATTCCGGTCCCCACTAGGTCTGGTGGCCGACCCGTGGTCTGAACTGCAGGAGAAGCGTGTTGTCTCCTCAGCTTGGGACCGTGCCCGTGACATCGAGTGAAACGGGGACCTTTCCATATCTTAGCCATGGGGGTCCCGAGGAAAATGACAGTTGAGCTTTTTTTTCAGGAGATGGTATTTGTGTACATCTCAGCCTCTACAGGGCCCGCTGTGTGTGTTTCTTCAGGCAGAGTTCAGGAACAATTTTTTGCCTATATGCTAAGGTGCAAGTCATCTCAGATAACTAGGTGCTTTTGCACAGGGTTCTGCTTTAAAGAGCCAGGGACTTGAAGTCTTGGAATTACTTTCATTTTTGTTTCTGCTGTCCCCCATGTCAGTTTCATTGATATGCAGTTTTCTCTCCTGGAACACATTTTGTTTTTGAAATAAATCTTCGACGGGAAAGAGGCAACTGAATCCCAGGAGAAGCTGTGTTTTGAGTAGCTGCTGTGTGGAAGGCATCTTGCTAGGTGCTTCGGAAAGTGTAGGAATGAATCAGACATGTATGTTTTCGTTTTCAGAATGAAAGAGGTGTGCCCAGCACACGGTCTTCAAGTTGCCCCTCCACAGTTTTCCTTGTCTTTATTGTCAGCATATTTATTCTGTTAGGGTTTTCTCTTACACAGATTATAAATTCCACATATGTTTGGCTCATTGTTGAATGCTCAGGTTTCAGCAAAATGCCTGGCAAACCCTAAGCTTCAATAGACGTTTCTCCTATGAAGAATTCAGTCTATGCAGGAAATACTGTTTTGCCGGAGCTTCGAGCACAGGTGCCGGATGTTCAAAGTCAGATGTAATTCTCCTGCCTGGGCTGTGTCTGGACAGAAAAGTAAAGGAGGGAGAGGGTTATTTTAAAAATCGTCAAAGCCATGGGGAGAATTTTAATTTGAGAAGGTGGAAATGTTCTGGAGTTGGATGGTAATGATGATTGCACCATACTGATGTAGTTAGTGCCACTGCACTGTAAACTTAAATATTGTTAAACGAGATCATTTTTGGTAGTTTCATTACTTTTTTTTTAAAAAAAGAAGCTAACCAAAGGCTGATTTAACCAGGAAGAATATTGGATCCATTCTTTTGTTTTTCTGGCCATCTCTGTAGTCACTTTTATTTGCACCTTTTTTTTTATTATTATTATTTTGTTATTGGAAAGGCGGATGTACAGAGAGGAGAGACAGAGAGGAAGATCTTCCATCCGATGATTCACTCCCCAAGTGAGCGCAACGGGCCGATACTATGCCGATCCGAAGCCAGGAGCCAGGAGCCTCTTCCGTGTCTCCCACGTGGGCGCAGGCTCCCAAAGCTTTGGGCCGTCCTCAACTGCTTTCCCAGGCCACAGGAAGGGAGCTGGAAGGGAAGCGGGGCTGCCGGGATTAGAACCGGCGCCCATATGGGATCCCGGGCGTGCAAGGCGAGGACCTTTAACCACTTGCGCCACCGCTCCGGGCCCTTGCACCTTTTTTTTTTCCTTTTTTGAAAAGCTTTGTTGTTTCGAGAGACAGAGTTCCTACTGTTTTTTTCCCCATATGCTAAAGCTGGTAGCTGGGGACACCATCCAGATCTCCCACGTGGGTGGCAGTAACCTGATTTCCTGAGCTGTTAGCATGACCTCCTGCAGTGGGATTAGCAGGAAGCTGTTGTCAGAAGTCAGGATTTGGACACCTATACTCCATGTGGATGTCTTAACCAAGAGGCTAAATGCCTGCTCCTGTTTGGGTTCTCTACAGAGTTTCACTTTTTATCTAATCTTTTCTTTTTTATCTGAAATAAGTCAAGCATTTTGAACTTAAATTCTGCTTTTAAGTAGAAACTCATCCTAAAGTATTCCACTGTCTAGTTTTCACTTCTTCTTCTTTTTTTTTTTTGAGTGTGTCTCTGTCTTTAAAGTTTAATTCATATAATGTAGGTTTGTAAAGGAACTTAGGTCTTTTACTCTTTGCTTTCAATACTAAATTTACTGGTACTTCTTTGAAAGGAGGAAATTAAAATCTAAGTAAAAATCACCTTATTTATTTAATTTATGGATGTAAAACACCAGGGTCTGAGTTATTACCTTTTTGTGGTACTATAAGGTCACCCATGTTGGTTATTGGATCTAACCCTTCAGTAAGTTTGCTTTTGTTACAGTCGAGCCTCCCTTCAACAGCAATTTGAAGGATGGCATTTTGTGTTACATATAGCTTTTGCTTTAGTTAATACAGTGATTAGAGTTGGATCCTTTACCAATAGGATGTTTTGGAAATTCCTTTGGAATATTTGGTAAAACAAGCTCAGTTTGGAAAAGCATATGGTAAAAGGTTTTGCACGTAAACATATATATATTTTTTAAAAGATTTATTTATTTTTATTGACAATTCAGATATACAGAGAGGAGGAGAGACAGAGACGAAGATCTTTCGTCCGATGTTTCAATCCCCAAGTGACTGCAATGGCTGTTACTCTGCCGATCTGAAGCCGGGAGCCAGGAACCTCTTCCGGGTCTCCCACACGGGCGCAGGGTCCCAAGGCTTTGGGTTGTCTTCAACTGCTTTCCCAGGCCACATGCAGGATGGGAAGCGGGACTGCCAGGATAAGAACCGGCGCCCATATGGGATCCCGGCGCATTCAAGGCAAGGACTTTAGCCGCTAGGCCACGCCGCCGGGCCCCTGAACCTAGGTATTTTAAGATTTAATTTTATTTTTATTGTAAAGTCATACACAGAGAGGAGGAGAGACAGACATGAAAATTTTCCAGATGTCGATTCACTCTCTAAGTGGCTGCAATGACCAGAGCTGAGCCAACCTGAAACCAGGAGCCTGGAGCCTCTTCTGGGTCTCCTATGCAGGTGCAGTGTCCCAAGGCTTTGGGCTGTCCTCAACTTATTTCCCAGGCCACAAAGCAGGGAGCTGGATGAGAAGCGGGGCCACTGGGAAACAAACCAGTATCCATATGGGATCCTGGTGCATGCAAGGCGAGATCTTTAGCTGCTAGGCTACTATGCCGGGCCCTGGACCTAGATACTTTGACATGAGATGCAGGCCTCCTAAGTGGTGTCTTTTTTCTTTTTTGTAAAGATTTATTTATTTTTATTGGGAAGTCAGATTTACAGAGAGAAGGAAAGGCCTTCCATCCACTGGTTCACTCCCCAAGTAGCCGAATGTCTGAAGCTGTGCCAATCAGGAACCAGAAACTTCTTCCGGGTCTCCCACATAGGTGCATGGGCCCAAGGCTCTGAGCCATCCTCAACTGCTCTTCTAGGCCACAAGCAGGGAGTTGGATGGGAAGTGGAGCCAGCAGGACATGAACTCGTGTCCTATGGGTTTCTGGTACATGCAAGGCAAGGATTTTAGCCACTAGGCTACCATGCCAGGCCAACTAATTGGTGTTTTAACTGCTATGTCTAATGTATGCAAGCCTCTAAACTTAGGCTTAGTTCTGTTTTTCTGCAGAATTAAGAAAAAAAAATATTAGAGAGACACAGAATACCCTCTGTGCTGGTTCATTCCTCAGTGACCTGCTGTGAGAGCTTATTTATTTTTATTTTTTTAAAGGATCACTATAGGCTGTTGGGGTGTAGTGGGTAAAGCCACCTGTGATACCAGAATCTGGTATGAACATCAGTGTGAGTTCCAGCTGCTCCCATTTCTGACCCATCTCCCTGCTAATGCACCTGGGGAAGCAGTAGAATAGGACCAACGTGTTTTGGCCCATGCCTCCCATCGGGGAGACCAGAATGGAATTCCTGGCTCCTGGCTTTGGTCTGGCCCATTCTTGGCAATGTGGCGTTTGGTGAGTGAACCAACAAATGGAAGATGATTCTCTGTCCCTCTCCAGCAGATTGTTCTCTCTCTCTCAGATTTAACTCTGCCTTTCAAATACAGACAGGGAGACGCAGAGAAAGTTTTTCATCATTTGATCACTACCCAAATGATCCCACGGGTGGACCTGGGCTGGGTTGAAGTCAGGAGATTGTCCTGGGGTTCCTCATGGGGGGCAGGGGCCCAAGCATTTGGAAATCTTTCACTGCTTTCCCAGGCACATTATCAGATAATTGGATTAGAAGTGGAGAAGCTAGAACTCTCACTAGCACCCATAGGGAATGCTGGCTCTGCTGGCTGTGGCTTAACTTACTGTGCCACAGTGCTGACCCTAGTAATCATTTTTCGTAGCACTACTCTAGAATATTACTTCTGTTTTAAAGATTAGAAGAATCAGATTTTGTTAGCATGAGTGATTTGCTTGTATTACATCATGGTACAGACACATCAACAGTTGGAGAATTTAATCTTTAGGCTTCCAGTGAACGTTCCAGTTTGCATTCTTTGAGATTGAAATTTCATGAAGTATAAATTGTGTTTCATGTCTTTTTGGCTCATTCGAGTGTTTTGTTCTAGGGACAGATCTGGAAGCATCTTTGTTAAGTTTTGAAAAACTTGACCGTGCGTCACCAGATCTCTGGCCAGAGCAATGTAAGTCTTTGCTTTCCTTATATGAAAACCAACGTTTGCTTGCTGTATCCTCTTCCTTCCTGTAGCTAGCGTGAAGTGATCTCTGAAAGTGGTTTCCTATTTATTTTATCCAGAAAGCCCCACAAGTTCATATGAATCAAGAAATTTAAATCTTCATATTCGTTTTAAAAACCTCTGTGGAGCTGCCTGGGCCATGAAGGTTATAGATGGTTGAAAAGCCACCAAGTCTGAAAGCTGTTCCTCCTCTTACAGAAGTATTGTGTTTCCATTTTACAGCGTTGGAGATGGAGGGTGTGCCCAGGCTAAGCAGTGGGGCTGGACACCCAGTTCATGGCCCCAAAGTGGTGGAACTTGTGCTGTTGCACGTGCCTAAAATGCAGAGGAGTGCTAGGCTGGAGGGATGTAGATTCTCTGATCATTGAACAAGTCCAGGTGGACAAAACAGCTGTGACATACCAGTACCCGTGGAACTCAGATTTCACTGATACCCACGCCCCTGGTGCCACAGTGAGATGATCCTTATCAGAAAGGAACAGGTGTGACTAACCCACAGGAGGAAGTGGCCCAGAGGAAAACAATATCCCAGAAGAAACGGAAAAAAGAAAAGAAACCTGCGGCTCAGAAAAAAAATTTAGCATACAGTAAATGTAAATGACCAGAAAAAGTTTACCTGTTCCAGAATAAGCTTGACTTTTCATCCCAATTCTCCATGAACTTGGGAAGCGTCTTTGTTTCTGTGGGTAAAGAAGGTACCTATTTCCTCACAGACTGGCCAGTGCTCACCTGGGTGGCGCATACACTGCAACTGGAACAAACAGAGAAGATTTAGTATGGCCCCTGTGCAAGGTGGCTCACATACTAGCTGATAGCAGACGTAACTGATCCATACCATTTTTAGTTTGTCTTTCTTTTTAGTGAAATTGAACAGTATTCCAGTTTAGAGTATCTGATTTGTATTCTGCTTTTTAATGTTTGATTCTTGCTAGAAGACATTGTAATGAATGATTGCATTGATACAACAGCATGCCTGTGAAGAAGGTTTAGATTTCTGGTAAGAGATATTACATCTCCCCACTGTCCCGACCAGCTCACTCCTGTCCCTTCACAGTTCCGGGGTGATATTCTCTGAGAAGTTGCTTCTTCACTCTCTGTCTGATTTAGATTTAGATTTCCATTTTCTGCCCTCCCATAGCACCTGTTATTGTAATACTTCAACAATATTACAGTTACTCAGTTATTCCTGGTCCTCTTGTAAGCTCCTTGAAGGAAGACTTTTATTACTCAAATTGTTTATGCCTACATGTACATGCTGATTGAATTGATGTACTTTTTCTTTCTAGTACCAGGTGTTGCCGAATTTGCAGCTTCTTTCAAAAGTGTAAGTAATAGCTTACCTAATAATTAAGTTTATCCTGAGTTTTTTTGAGTACAATCTCAAATTTCTGTTATTTCTTTATTTTTATAACCTTCAAATAATTTTGTAACTTCATTATTATAACTGCTTATATTGTCAATGTGTTAATTGATGATAATACCTGTTGCTCAAATGCTCTATTTTGACATTAAAAAAAAATTTCTTTTTTATTTTTACTTGAAAGAGTTACAGAGAGAGAGGGAGATCTTTCATCTGTTGGTTCACTCCCCAAATGGCTGAAATGACCAGAGCTGAGCTGGTCTGAAGCCAGGAGCCAGAAAATTCTTCCGCATCTCCTTCATGGGTGTGGGGACCCCAGTTCTCAGGTCATCCTCTGCTGCTTTCCCAAGCCATTAGCAGGAAACTGGATTCGAAGTGAAGCAGCTGGGGCACAAACTGGTGCCCATATGGGATGCCTGTGCCCCAGGGTGGAGCATTAACCTGCTAGGCCAGTGTGCTGGTGCCTATCTTGACTTTTTTTGTTTATTTGTTTGTTTTAGATTTAATTATTTATTTTGAAAGACTAATTTTCAGAGAGAAGTGAGACAGATAAAGGAAGATCTTCCATCCAGTGGGTCACTCACCAAATAGCTCTAATGGCTAAAGCTGGGCCAAACCAAAGCCAGAAGACAGGAACTTCCTCTGGGTCTCCCATTGGAAGCAGAGACGGTAGTACTTGGGCTGTCCACTGATGCTTTCCAAGGCACACTAGAAGGAAGTGGAAGTAGAAAAATTGGGCCTCCAATCAGTGCTTGTAAGAGGAGTTGGTACTACAGGAATCAGCGTAACCCACTATACCACAGCATCAACCCCTAATTTGACTTTTTAGATCAAGATTTATTTATTTGAAAGAGTGACACAGAGAGAGGAAGAGTCAGTTCTATCCACTGGTTCACTCCTTAAATAGCTACTGTGGCTGGGGCAAGGAGGTTCTTAGAGGTCTCCCATGTGAGTAAAGGGGCCCAAGCACTTGGACCATCATCTGCTGCTTTCCAAGGCACATTGACAGGGGGCTGGGTCAGAAGTGGAGCACCCGGGCCTTCATCCAATGCTGCAGGCAGTCACTTAATTCACTACACCACAACTCTGGCCAGTATTTTCACATTCTGAATTGTGTTTCTAAATTGCTTTTCTCAACAAAAAAACTTTTAAGCTAGAGCAGTTGGAATATTTAAGGTCACATAAGTATTCTTTTTGTTCATACTGTAATTTTCTGGGAAGTGCTACTCTTTTTATTTGTTGTATTATGAGCTTAACTTGTACCTCCTTAGAGGATTTTAAAATTTGTTTGCTCCATCAGAAACCTGAAGGAAGATGTTTGTGAGAGCCAGGGATATTTCCACTTTTTTTTTTTTAAAGATTTGTTTATTTATATTGGAAAGTCAGATATACAGAAAGGAGGCGAGACAGAGGAAAGCCGGATGGCCAAAGCCTTGGGACCCTGTGTCTCTATGGGAGACCCAGAAGAAGCTCCTGGGCTCCTGGCTTCGGATCAGCTCAGCTCTGGCCATTACCGGCAGACAGGAAATCTTTCTCTGTGTGTCTCCTTCTTTCTATAAATCTGCCTTTCCAATAAATAAGTCAACCTCTTTAAAAAGAAGGGGAAAAAGCACAAACTGGCAGCACAACTTGAAAGTTATTCAGATTCTACTAAGTGGCAGACAACTTAATCCATGCCTGTCAGATTTGAGAGCCCATCTTCTTAGTTTTCAGCTGTGTCACTGAGGAACAGAAAATAAGAATTTAAAAAAAAAAAAATGTAATTCAGGGCCTGTCCGTGATACCAGCATCCCCTATTGGCATTTTTGTCCCAGCAGCTTCACTTCCGATCCAGCCCCCTGCTAATGACCTGGGAAAAGCAGCTGAAGATCACCCAAGTGTTAATGCCTCTGCTACCCATGTGGGAGAACCAGATGAAGCTCCTGACTTCAACCTGGCTTTTGCTGCCATCTAGGAAGGGGATGAGCCTATGAAAGATCTCTGTAATTCTGGTTTTCAAAATAAATATTAAAAAAAAAAATCTGATTCAGCATCTACACCTTTAGGTTGAAAGTGTGCACATACATATTAGAGTTTTGTGTCTAGGGTATCAGGAACATTCTGGGATGCCACATAAAGACCTCCCAGTATAGTCCTTCCTCTGGGTGGTGAAGTGGTGATTCACAGACTCAGGCTCTAGACCCAAGCTGCCTGGCCTTTGAATCCTGGCTCCTCTCACTACATAACATGAGGAAAGTGATGTTTAATCTCCCCATGTTTTGTTTGTTCTGTAAAATAGGGATAATATGTATTTTTAGGATTGATTGCTTGTAAATATCATGATGCGTATGAAGTGTTTTGTATGTTACATGTTACTGAGTAAATGTTAATTTTTTAATAAAAAAATGGACTCATCTGAAGTAGCAGTTCTCAGTCTATTTGAAAAATGCATACGTGAAATTCTTTTCGATTGGCCTTCGTTAGGCTTCTGATACTGTAAATCAGTATATCTGGGGTGTAGTCAAGCATTTTGTGCAACCAAGGTTGAAAACTGCTAATCCAAAGCTGTTTCTTATCATGCTAGTTAGCATATGCCTGAAATAGTATGTGTAATCAGAATTAATCATTCTAAGTTCATTTATCTGAGACTCACTTTAAAGATAAATACTTACATAGTAACTAATCTTGATCCTGGGTAACTGGATTTTTTGAAACTATAATTTTCATTATTCTCATACAACCTGAAGGGTGTGTATGTGACAAGCTACATTGAAGAAGGAAAAGTGGGTCTCATACTCTGCATGTATTTAAGTGGATATGTTCTTATTTTTGACAGCCTATTACTAGCTCCCCACCCAAATGGATGGCTGAAATAGAACGTGATGATATTGACATGCTGAAAGGTAAGCAGCACCTCTAATTGATGATCCCCTATTTATGTTCCTCCTCAAATCATCCTTTCAATTGCTCTCAAGTTCATGGAAAAAATGGAATTAATGGTTAGTTTTAGTGCCAAAAGAATTAAAATTTAAGTTCATCTTTTATAACACAAATCCCTTATTTAGAATTTACTGTCATACAGTGTTGTCAGTACTGTGAAATGGCAGTTCCTTAGATTCATAAGGTGAAACCTGCCTTTATTTCTTTCTGTCCTGTTAATTTCTTCCATGAAGAATACCATAAGTCGTGCATACTGATTGAAAAATGACTTGAAACTCATTCATGAAGTAGAAGTTTAAATTTAAAAAACATTAATTTTCTTTGATTTTACTCTATTTATTTTTCATCATCCTTCTGGTGATAAAATTCATGATAGTTGTGAAATAATAGACTGAAATGAAGGTGAGAAACCACGGTTCTTGAACTGTGCAAGCAACTGAACAGGTCAAGAAGGTTAGCTTAAGCCAGATGTAGATAATGACTGAAGCATGATAGATGAGAGGGGAAAAAAAAGGAAAAAAACCCTTTATTTGATTTCAGAAGTGATTTATCGTGCTATAAGCAATGCTGAAATGCAGATCCCCTCCTCCACCTGTGCAAAAATTAAGTCACAAAGACATCTAAAAGGTCCATTGTTCTAATGTTCCAAATAATTATTTGTCTATTAGCCCATCAGTGTGTATTTCCCAGAGAAACTTTTCAAGTATTTTTCAGACGGATCATTCTGATGTACTAAATGCTACTTAGATGAAAATCTGAGAGTAAATTTTTTTTTTAAATATAACCTCTGAAGGGAAAATTTGTATTTATGTTCAGGTTTTGTTTTGTAAACTTATAGAAATGGTGTTTTGTTATTATTTCGTTGTTAATAGAAATAATAGTGATTTAAAAATGACAATAGATATAATGTCCATTTATCAAAATAGAGATATCAGTAAGGCTTTCTGGATGCTATGCTGAATCATACAAAGTTTTATATTTTAATGGTGCATTCATTTTGTGCGACAAATTGAATGTTATAAATGGGTCTTTATGTGTTATTGTATTTGTACTCTTTTTTAATTAAGTGGATGTACTCATTTAAGACATTCTACAATACTGGAAATTTTCACTGATTTTGTAGGAGTGTATGTATAAATGACTGTAGAAGGCGTATGAATCCATTTTCTACTTATCCAATAGAAATTAAGCTTGAAGGGTAGACAATTACGTTGAAATTAATATGCTGTTTGGAATGCCCACATTTGCTATTGAAGTCCCAGGGTTCAAATTCTGGCTCCATTCCTAAATTCAGCTTCCTGCCAATATGCACACTGCAGGGGATCAAATGATAGCTTGGGAGTCAAGTGCCTGGGTCTCTGTTAGTTGGGTGGGAGATGCAGCTGGAGTTTCCAGCCCCCGCAGCTTAGGCCTGGCACAAGCACAGCTATTACAGGTATTTGGGGAGAAACCTAGAGAATGGGAGAGCTCTAGCTTTTCTCTCTTCTTTCCTCTCTCTCCATTCTACCTTAGCTAAATAAGTCAGTAAATAAATATTTAGGAAAACCATTTTCAGAAAAGTGAAAATGAAGCTTGACCAAGATTCCTAGCCCAAAAGAATTGTTTCTAGAAAATAGTAGAATGAAATGCTATTGAAATAAATTAATCTGTTTCAGAGCTGGGAAGCCTCACCACGGCTAATTTGATGGAGAAGGTACGAGGCCTACAGAACCTGGCCTATCAGCTGGGGCTGGATGAGTGTGAGTACCTGGATCCCCTTTATTTAGGGCTATAACTTGTAGAATGCAGGATAAGTTCTGATTATAATTTAGAAGGTGTCTCAGTTAAAGAAGAGTGTTTGAAGGTAAGCCAATGTAATTTAAAGTATGTATTTTATGAAAGAATATGCTGGAATAATAATTGTACTTGGAAGATATCTTAGTGCAGTAGAATATCAACAAGGGTGAGCTTAAACAGAGAGGAGATTTTATTATTTCTTGCTTCACATGACTGAGAAGTCTGGGGACAGAACTATCTTTAAGGATCTCTAGATCCATGACTCTTAGAGGTGTGGAGTGGACATCCTCTGCTTCACCTCAAAGCTTTGCTTCCTTCGTGCCTTGGTCTCATCTGGATTGCTGAGGGTAGCTTTCTTCTGGCCCTGGAGAGAGGTGAGCAAGAGCTCCGGTTTATGTGTCTTTAAAAATCACGACCCTAAGGGAGTGTTACCCTGCCCTTACCTGCTCCTAAAAAACTTCCCAGGGAAGACTGCCCTGTTCCGTCTTGGCTCAGAAACCCGTCCTTGAACCAGTCGTTTGGCCAGGGAATCTGCACCATTTTGCTGGACCATCCTGAGTTCTGGATGCAGATGTTGATGCTTATTAAAGGGGCTGATCTGACCCAAATAACAAAGGGAGATAGCACAGACCAATAACATACTGGCCGCCATGAGTAATGCTTTAACATTTCCCGTTTACACCTGTTTGCTCTTCACTCATTCAGTCTAAAATCATTCCCTTATAAATTTTATCACTTTTAGTAGTGTGTTTGTTGTAAAGCTAAAGAAGAAATTATAATGAATTCTCACTTTGTAAGACAAGCAGTTGAAGATTTGTTCTCAGAGAGAGTCTTCTGAGACCTTCATTAATCACTATTTTGAGAGTAAGTATTGTTAGTATGGTTCTCATTTTTTAAAAATGCAGGTTTGTAGCAATCCCATATATAGTTTGATAAGTTATCTTTATTGTTTCTTTTAAAGTGCTATATTTGTTCACATCATTGATAAAAAAAAGACATGCAAATTTAAAATTTCCTTTTAGATTCAATTTAGGATTCCTAGTTTTTGACCAACAAATCAATCATTTCCTTAGCCCTCTGTATCTGTTTTTTATTTCCATTATTACTGTTAACAGCAATTGGCTTTCTTTTACCAAGAAACATTTTACATCATTTCATGAATCAAGATACAGAAAATAACAAACTTCTTTGAGATATGGTTGCTAGGTGGTCTTTTAGGTTCGCTTACTGGTCCTAAATGCATACTAGTGATTTATTTCTTCTGATTAAAGTTTATATCTTGGCAGAATTACTTATTACTATGTGTGTCATGGAACTCCATGGTTTATAACAAAAAGGCAAATCTTACATGATTAAATTCATAATGCTAGGTCTGTATAGAATAACATTTCTTGATTTTCCTTCTAATTTTGGATAATAAACACTGTAATAATCATAATGACCAACTTTTTATCAGTGGGATAATGGGATGCCAGTGCGTGAAACATGAGAAGTTTAGCCACTAGGCTACCAGGAGCATGTGGCTGCACTTCTAATCCAGCTCCTTGCTAGTGCTCCTGGCAAAGCAGCAGAAGCTGGTACAAATGCTTGGGCTTCTGTACCCATGTGAGAGGCCCAAGGAAACCTCCTGGCTCTTGGCTTCTGTTTGGCTCAGTCCTGGCCATTGCAGCCATTTGGGGAGTGAACCAGTGGATGGAGGATCTCTCTTGCTCGCTTGCACTCCTTTTCTAACATTGCCTTTAAAATAAATAAAATACATTTTTAAAAAAGATTCTATGTTAGCAAATGTATTTGCAAACTATATTGTTTTCAATTAGTTGCAGCTGAATCTGGTATATTCCCTCTGATTAGCTTCTTTTTCTGCTTTCTTAATAAGAAAAATAAGGAAATATTTATTCCTACTTTTAACCATGAAAAATTTTAAACATATGCCTGAGTAAAAGACAACAGAATAAGGAGTTCATGTTTCCAGGATCCAACGTTAGTAATTAATATCCTATAGCTATTTTAAAGCAAATATAGACATATTACTTCATTGTCACATAAATTTTTATTTGTTTCCCCAAAAGACAGAAAGGATAAGTAGGAATAAAATTTGTCAAAAATTATCACAGTTCCTTTATTGTATTCTAAAAATGTTTAACAAAGTCATTTAATATAATCAACCAGATCCAATCCCTGTTTCGTCAAAAATGTCTTTATCCAGTTGGTTTGTCAGGATCCAAAGAATTTTCCAATACTATTTGATATATTTCTAAGCCTCTTTTAATCTTAGTTTTACCTGCCTATTGTTTTCCCTTGTTACTTATTGACGCTAGTCATTTGCTCTCTAGATATTTCTCACATTCTGGATGTTTTCTTTAAAGATTTATTTTGTTTTTATTGGAAATTCATATATACAGAGAGGAGGAGAGACAGAGAGGAAGATCTTCTGTCCGATGATTCACTCCCCAAGTGGCCACAACGGCCGGAGCTGAGCTGATCTGAAGCCAGGAATTCAGAGTCTCTTCTGGGTCTTCCATGAGGGTACAGGGTCCCAAGGCTTTGGGCTGTCCTCGACTGCTCTCCTAGGCCACAAGCAGGTAGCTGGATGGGAAGTGCAGCTGCCAGGATTAGAACTAGCATCCATGTGGGATCCTGGTGCATGCAAGATGAGGACTTTAGCTGCTGGCTACCACACTGGGACCACATTCTGGATTGTGTTGATTGCATCCCACTAGAAGTGATCACCTAACTGTTAAATGGTCCCTTTTTATTTACCAGTGATTTAGATAGAAATGCATAGATACAGGCTTGATTTTTATTTTCATTTCAGCAGAAATATTTCATATATGGTGTTATACCTTGATCAAGGGAATACCTTGCTTCCTTTTTATGATATAATACTAGTAGTTGATAAAGGTATTATCTGCCTGATCTGTTCAGTATCAATTTCTCTTATCAGACTTACACACTTTTATTATAGGTTGCAAGGTGGTGATTTTTTGAGTCTATCTTTTCTTCTTAGTGGCTAGTGTTTTCTATGATGGATTTGATCCTATCAGCTGCTCACTTTCCTTGAAAACTGTTCCTACTAACACAGCAGAATAAATGATTCTCTTTATTTTTCAGTTTTCAGAGTCATGAGTCAGCTCCTTTAAACATTTTAGTGTAATATTGTAGTGGCTTTCACAAAATCATAAACTTGATATGATTTTTAATTTGCTTTCTGATCCACACAGCATTGCTACTGTTAAATGTTTGTATTTCTTAAAAAAAAAAAAAAATTAAGGTTTTTGCATGAGGATTTGAAGTTGCCTAACCCAGTTACCTTAAACTGTATAACAGAAATGATGGTTTCTGCTGGAAAAGTCCTATGAACACCACTGAAATTTTTCAAAATTATATTTAGCTCACATTTCAGCCTCACTTCAACTTCTGTAGCAAGTCTTTGTAGCTGACTGCCATTTTCCTTGGCCATAGCAAAGTTAGGTGACATTAAGAAAAAAAAAGCTTTAAAGGTAGAATTGGAAGTAATTACAATGATATATATTGGACTTCTGGGATGCAGTCTCTTTGTTTTATTGTATACAGTGTATTTGCATAAAAACAAGATTTTTTTTTGTCATTACAGATTACTCATCTACTCTGGGGGTTGGCTTTTACTTGACACCCTAATCTGATATTTCGATGTCTCAATCCTCTTTCCTGCATTAATTGAGAGGATGACATGGATGAAAAATAAGCAGTAAGAAATGAAGAGTCCCTAAAGACCAGTGAGCCCGTTTTCATGCAAATATTGACACTGATAAAGATGATGAGAAGGAAAAAAAATGCAAAATATATTTGTCCTCAAAACATAATTGTTTGCAACTTCCCGAGAGCATGGTTAAACATTAGTGTAGAGATATTATAAGCCTTTGCTTTGCTGACAGTAAGTTGATTGTGGTTTTTGGGACATGCAGTCTATCCTTTGATGTGATCCATGACTGTGCCTCAGATAACTCTTTTGGGGTACAGATTTTTGACTACATTTGTAAGCTGTCACATAATAAGCACCGCTTAGCTTGATTTGAACCATTAATTTGTATAGAATTCCTTTGAAATATATAGAAAAACAAACCAAAAAAAGCAAAACTCTGCTTTGGTATATAAAGAATTCTATTTCTAGAGCTGACTGAGTTTAGTGTTCTTCCTCATTTAGTAGATCTGTAATCATCTTCTAACCGGTCAGTGTCTTTCAATGACCCCAATCCAATTCATCCTATTCAATACTGCCAGATTTGTTTCTGTGAAGTGTCATTTACCAGTGCTGGTGTTGTGGTGCAGCAAGTTAAAGGACCATTTGCTTCTGCTTGGTCTTTGCTAATAAGTCATTGGTAATACTTCATTACTATTCAGATTCCTGGAATTCAAATTCCACTGAAAATTTTCTACACTGAGTCCCTTGTATCATCTCTAGCTTTCATACTTAATATGCCCAACCACAACACCATATGCTGTTCCCACTGGAAATGCTTTTCCTAGAACATTTTTTCATCTTCTTAGTTCTGTTCATGCTATTCCTTTTTCTGAGAATGTCCACTCTTGGTTTTCAGAATTTCTTTTTCATGCTTGGTCTTAAAGTGAGCTGTCTGCTGGGCTCTTTAGTTCACTTGTAAGACACATAACCATTCTTTGAGGAGACCTTTCATATGTGCCTCACCCCTGGGATTGACTAACTTTTTAAGGTGAGAATTATTTTCTTAGGCTGCCTTTGTGGCTCACAGAGGCCAGCATGTAATAAGCATGCAGGGTGTTTTACTTGATGACTGAGTTATCATATGATACCTTCAAATGAAATGACAGAATTCTAATGTAGTTCATTAACTTAAAATTGAAAAGGTAGATATTGAAAAGGTAGATGCTTCTGGAATTGTTCTTTAATTTCTTTCCTTTTTTTTTTTAAGATTTATTTATTTTTATTGGAAAGGTAGATTTACAAAGAGAAGGAAAAACAAAGAGAAAGATCTTCAGTCTGCTGGTTCACTCCCCATATGGCCACAACAGCCAGAGCTGGGCCAATCTGGAGCCAGGAACTTCAGGTCTCCCAGATGGGTGCAGGACCCCAAGCACTTGGGCCCTCCTCTACTCCATGCTTTCCCAGGTGCATTAACAGAGAGCTGGATGAGAAGTGGAGCAGCTAAGAAAACAAATGACATGCATTGGGATGCAGGCATTGCAGGCAGCAGTTTGACTTTCTATGTGCCATAATACCAGCCACTGTGTGTGTATTCTCCATCACCTGTTGTGATTACTGTAGCTTTGTGGTAAGTTTTGAAACTGAGATATATGATGTGTGAATTTTCTACATTAGTTCTTTTTCGAGATTGTTTTGGTTATGCTAGGTCCCTTCAGTGTCCTTACAGCTTTTAGCAGTTATATTCAAAGTGCAGATCAGTTTGGGGAGTGCTATCACTTAAATAATATTATGGCCCTCTGTGAACATGGTACATCTTTCCATTTACTTATGCCTTTTTTAAATTTCATAAATCCAGGGCAAGCTTTTGGACAGTTAGGACGCCAGTTGAGATTCTCTCATCAGAATCCTCAGGTATAGCACCAGCTCCACTCCTGCCTCCAGTTTCCTGCCAGTGCACACCCTAGGAGGAGGGCAGTGATGGCTCAGCTCCCTGGGTTTCTGCTACCCACCTTGGGTGATGTAGATTGGTTCCTGATGGCTGGCTTCTGCCTCCAGCTGCTACTGCTGTATTTAGGGAGTGAGTTGGTGGATGATGGGTGCTAGCTCTATACTATCTGGCTATTTCTGCCTCTCATTAAGTAAAAGTTAAAGGGAAAAAAGTAAATCTAATGCCAGTAATGTTTTTGTGGCTTTCTTTCTTCTTTTTTTTTTTTTAAATGATTTATTTATTTGAAAGCAGGGAGTGGGGAAGAGTACAAACGATTGCTTCCATCTGTTGGTCACAGGTCACAGCAGCAAAATCTGGTCCAGATGAAGGCACTCCATCCTCACCTCCTACATGGATGCAGGGACCCAGGTTCTTAGGCCGTCTCTGCTGCCTTTCCACGCTCATTAGGAAAGAGCTGGATCAAAAGCAGAGCAGCCAGGACTCAAGCCAGAACTCTTGATATTGGATGTTGGTGTCTCAAGGGGAAGCTTCACTTGTTGCATTACAACAATGGCCCCGGTTTCTCTTTTTTAAAAATAGAGTATTCTAATAGCCGTGATTACAGTGTCTATCGACATGAAAACTGCCAACTGGTGTGCAGAACAGTTGATCACCAGTTGTATGTTAGAAGCAGTAAGAGGTCCCAGACACCACATAAAAAGAATTCTGGAATATCCTTCAAGATCAATTTAAAAATTTCTGCTTCTTAGGGGTTTATCAAAATACAGAAGAAAATGTAGAGGTCATCATCATTTTCAAAGGCAGATCAGACTCCTGCAAGCTGAGAGAGAAGCAATTTTGCACATGGAGATGGCGGGTATGCTCGGGATCTGCCACCCTCCTGGCTTACCGTGCTCCTGCTGGCAAGACACCAGACATCCTGCCAGCCAGTCTGAACAACACTGTGAGCATGCAGGTGCTGTGGACAGACAGGTTCCCACTCTGGCCATGTACTTACCAAGGAGGCATGAGGGGAGGAAGGCATCTGTGGCCACCTGGCCCATCTGTGATGAGACAGTGTGAGCACAAGTGCAAACATCCCATCATGGAATTCAGGGAGGCACAGAGTGTAGTGTGGTTGGCTTGGTCACCATTTCTTGGATTCCCAAAGGGTAGCAGAGAGACCAGCCAGTCTGGATTAGTGCTCAGGCTCTCACACCAGAGCTTACACTAAGTAGCAGAGTTGTTCAGTGCTCTCTTTAGCTTATTTTTAACTGAAAAAGAAGAAGAAGAAAATCCCTGAATACAGGTTAAAAACCAGTCACCAAACGGATCTCAGTAGATCTAACTCAGAAATGAGTCTGGCACTTAATTTAATATGGTTATAGATTCCTGGAGGCCAGGCATCAGTGTGACTAAATCCCCTCTCAGTGCCCAGCCATGAGTTCATTTTCTTTTTCCAATGGAAATATGTATTGTGTACCAGGAACTGCCTCAGTGGAAAAACTATTTACATTGAGTAAAAACCTGGCTGCTGTCTGGGCAGCATGCTATGATGTACACTGTGGCCAACCCAGGGCGACACGGAGAGGAAAGCCGGGGCCCGAGAGAGGGCAGTGGACTGGGGCGGCATTCCCCCTTCACTTCTGGTTCTGGAGCTGTTTGGACAGCCAGTCCAGGCCCTCGTAGAGCCCGTCCCCGCTGGTGGCGCAGGCGGCCTGGATGTACCAGCTCCTGTGGCGGAGGGAGTGTAGCCCCAGCTTGTTCGTGATTTCAGCCACGGTCATGGCGTTCGGGAGGTCCTGCTTGTTGGCAAACACCAGGAGGGCGGCATCTCGGAGCTCTTCCTCCATCAGCATCCCCAGGAGCTCCTGTCGCGCCTCGTTTATACGCTCTCGGTCATTGCTGTCTACCACGAAGATCAAGCCCTGGGTGTTGGCAAAATAGTGGCGCCACAGCGACCGAATCTGGTCCTGGCCGCCCACGTCCCACATAGTGAAGCTGATGTTCTTGTACTCCACCGTCTCCACATTGAAACCCACCGTGGGAATGGTGGTCACGGTCTCCCCGAGCTTCAGCTTGTACAGGATCGTTGTCTTCCCTGCGGCATCCAGGCCCACCATGAGGGTATACATTTCCTTTTTGCCAAAAAGGCCCTTGAAGAGGTTTGTAAAGGTGTTCCCCATGTTTGTAGACAAACTGGAACCCGCAACGGTCGCGGGGGATGGCTTCTCTGAGTCTGGCGTTGGTTTCACTGCCACGAGATGGCGGCTGTGACGGCAGTTACTGCAGCGCACGTGAAGCCGCCGTGGGGCACCATAGTTATGTAGTTTGTTTGTTTTAAGATTTATTTTTATTGGGAAGTCAGATACTGAAAGAAGGAGAGGAAGAGAGGAAGCCAGCGGCCTGGCTTGCCTCTCTCACCGATCATCTTCTGTGCCAAAAAACAATGCAACTTTTCAATTGGCAATAGTTCCACAGAAAAACTTGTGCGTCTAAGTTGGCTTGTGATGTCACAGACTCATCTACCCTCTGGGCTTATGATTTTTGAAAAAGCGGCTACTTGTACATAGCAATTCTTTTCTATCTGGATAAAATTTCTGTAGAACTCTGTTGAGTTTTAATTTTAGTAGATGAGGAGGGATGGGGAGGAAAATAGCTGTAACTCTTACAACCTGGATATGCTTTTTTGTGACCTGGCAAGGTGGTTTTCTGCCTTGGGTTCCCCTCCCCACCCCCTTGGGTTTTGAAGCCTGTTCCATCCTCCTGTAACACTCCTTACTGGATGGACAAGACTCATTCAGCTCTTAACCTCTAGATGGCAGCATGAGTCTTACTGTACTACTAGTTTTTCCTGTGTTTTGAATTGGATTTCTGATTTATGTAAAACAATGTGGTTTTGCCAGTCTACTTGCATAACTTTATGATGCTTTGCTTGATTTTTTTTAAAGATTTATTTATTTGAAAGTACAAATTACAGAGAGAGAGACACAGAGGCAGATCTCCCATCTTCTGGTCTGTTTCCCAGATGTCTGCAATGACCAGGGCTGGGCCAGTCTGAAACCAGGAGCTAAGGACCAGGGGTCTCATCCTGGTATTCTATGTAGGTGCAAACACTTGGAGCATCCTCCACGACCCCTTCCAGGCAATCGGAAAAGGGAGCTGGATTAGAAGCTGAGCAGTGGGACATGATCTCTTGCCCATATGTCTCAGGTATTGCTACATCTACACTGAACCCACCTTGCTTGATTTCTACACTTTTCTTTTTCATTTTTTAAAAAAGACTTATTTAGAGGAGATACAGAAAAAAGATCTTCCATTCTCTGGATCATTCTCCAAATGGCTGCAATGGCCAGAGCTGAACTGATCGAAAGCCAGGAGCTGGGAGCGTCTTTCAAGTCTCTCCCATGTGGGTGCAGAGTCCCAAGCTTTAGGTCATCCTCTACTGCTTTCCAAAGCCACTAGCAGAGAGCTGTGGCTTTGGGGACACGAACCAGCACCCTTATGGGATCCTGACATTTGGAGGTGGAGGATTAGCCAATTGAGCCATCTTGCCAGACCCAACATGTGTTTACATAACTCACTGTGTTGTAATGCTGGCCCCGAAATAGTCTTTAAAAAGTTTTTTAGGCCTGGTACTAGCCTAGTGATTAAATCCTCATTTTGCAACCACTGGGATCCAATATGGGTGCTGGTTCATGTTCTGGCTGCTCCATATCCCTTCCAGCTCCCTGGTTGTAGCCTGGGAAAGCAGTCAAGGATGTCCAAAGCCTTGGGACCCTGCACGTGCATGGGAGACCTGAAAAAGCTCCTGGCTCCTGGCATTGGATCAGCTCAGCTCCAGCCATTTCAGCCACCTAGGGAGTGAACCAGTGGATGGAAGAGCTCTCCTTCTCTTTGCAAATCTGACTCTCCAATCAAAATAAATAAATCTTTATTTTTAAAAAAAGCCAGGGAATTTGATTTAAAAACAATGTTAAAGTGTAATATTAAGTTTAAAATACAAGTTTCTCAATGCCATCTGTAACTTACCTTTGTTATATTTGTTTTATACACAGCAGTCATTAATGTGGCATCCCATGTAGATGGTAATGCTATATAAAATCTAGAAACCCTACTTCTAAGAGACCCAGAGTTATTTCTCATAATTTAAAATTGTCCATTTAATTTTTAAGTATCTTGTTTTTAAAAATGTATTATGATAATGGGAAATAAAACATGGTTATTTTTCCATTTTTCCTTTGGTTAACAAATTAGAATACACAAACCCTCAAATTACCTTTAAGGCTTATATGCATTATATCTTTTATCCATTAGTCAAGTTATTTCATAAACCCAGTGTTGCCTCTGAAATGGTTTTAAACACAAAGAGGATTTTATCATAAAATGCTTGTATTGTTTTCTTCTGATGATTTTGGGGGGAGGGGAAAGCTAGTGGAATATTTTCAGTGTATGAATTAATTTGGGTGGGGGTTTGTTTTAGAGTATAATTCTGCAAAATGTATGATAGGTGAAAAGTTCATGGTGAAACCAAATTCAGTATTTAGGGAATAACTAAGTGAATTATAGCTCATCCTCAATGTAGAATGCAATGTAATGATTAAAAATCACATTGAAATATTAAAAAGCACTTAATGACAGATGAATGTTGATAATATGTAAGGACAGTAGCAAGCGGGGGAGAAAAGGTCCTTTTCTTTTTTAATTTGTTTTTAAAGTTTTTATTGTATTTGAAGAGAACAAGTGAACTCCCCATCCTCTGGGTTACTTCCCCATATGCCCCAAATTGCCAGGAGGACAGGAACTGGGAGGCAGACAGTCCAGGCAAGAACCCAGTATGGAGCCATACCTGCCGCCTTCCAGGGCCCACATAAGGGAGAAGCTGAAATGGATTATGATACAGCAAGTTAAACTTGGACACCTACGTTCTGTATCGGTGTGGCTGTTGAAAGTCATATCTGCTCTCTTTCAATCCTGCTAATGTGCCTGGAAAGCATTATATACTGGTCCAAATTCCTGGGCATCTGCCTCCCACAGAGAAGATCCCAGTGGAAGTGCTGGCTTCTGGCTTCAGCCTGGTCTGGTCCTGGCTAATACTGGCATTTGAGGAGTGAACCAGTCCCCCGTCTCCATCTCCTATTCTTCTCTATCACTGAACCTTTCAAATAAATACATAAACCCCTTTTTAAAAAGTGTAACTTACAGGGGATGGGTATTGTGCCTCAGCAGGTTAGGCCCAAGTTCTGGCTTCGCCATTTGTGATTCAGGTTCCTGTTAATGCATGCTGGGAGACAGCAGATGATGGCTCAAGGGCTTAAGCTCTCCACCCGTGTGGGAAACCTGGATGTCTCTAGGCTTTGGCATGGCTCAGCTCTGCTGCTAAAGGCATCTGGGGAGTGAACCAATGTGTGTGTATGTGTGTGTGTGTGACAGAGAGAGAACTGCCTTCTAAATAGTGAAGAAAAATAACAATTGAAAATGTAGCTAGGAATAGAACCTACATAGGATACTGGTGTCTTGATAAGTTAACTTCTAAGCCAAATTTGATCTCTCTATGTGCTTTTAGAAATACTACTTTACCATTTAGCAAGATTTTCCTTTCTGGTTAATGCTATCTGTAATCCCTGTTATTTAATTTGGGCTATTATAATGTTAAACCTGTAGCATTTTATAAATAAATAGTAAATTTGGCCTAGCTGAATTCCTTTCTCTATTTTTGTTTAAAAGATTTATTTATTTTTAGTGGAAAGGCAGATTTACAGAGAGAACGAGAGACACAAAGATGTTCCATTTGCTGGTTCACTCCCCAAATGGCTCTAGCTTAAGCTGATCTGAAGCCAGGAACTTCTTTCAAATCTTTGGGACATTCTGTACTGCTTTCCCAGGCTATAAGCAGGGAGCTGGATGGGGAGTGACCAATCCAGAACACAAACTGGTGCTCATATGTATCCTGGCATTGGTGGTTTAGCCAATTGAGCCATTTCGTCAGGTCTTTCTTTCTTTGTAAAAGTTCAGACTGAGAAAAATGAAGCTCTGTCTTTCTCTTTTTGAAGTTTTCTGACAACCCACTTGAGTGATGTGCTTAAAATTGTCATTTAAACATTCTTGAAACACCATCTTTCTTGAAAACCAAAGTGTCAGTAGAAAAGAACTTGCATAAGGAGCTAACAACTCAGCTGTTTTTGTGTAAATATTTTAGAATTAGAAAGTAATTAATTGGGCAAATTTTAACTAAAGAACTAAAACTTAAGTCACTTCATTATCAAGTCAGGGACTAGTGCTGTGGTATGGTGGGTAGAATCACTGCCTTCATTGGTGGCATCCCATATGAGTACTAGTTTAAATCCTGGCTACTCTACTTTTGATTCAGCTCCCTGCTGGTGGCCTGGGAAGGCGGCAGAACATGGCCCAATTTCTTGGACCCCTGCCTCAATGAGGAAAACTCAAAAGAAACTCCTGGTTCCTGGCTTTGGACCGACCAAGCTATGGCTATTGTGGATGTTTATGGAGTGAACCAGCAAGTGGAAGATCAGTTTCCTTCTCTAACTTTGCCTTTCAGAATTGCAAATACTTAAATAAATGCTTAAAAGCATTTATTAAATCCATAGACGTCAACTTCCTGTAGTTACATGGAAACCGTTATGGCTAGTGGTGTAAGAAGTAGAGAGTGAATTAGTAATATGTGATGATGGAGACAGGAGACCATCTCCTGGTTTCTGTCCAATTTTAGTATATGTGCTGCCAAAACGAGCACAGGTTCCTGGCTTCAGATTGGCTCAACTCCAGCCATTGCAGCTGTTTGGGGAGTGAATCAAAGGACGGAAGATATTCCTCTCTGTCTCTCCTTTTCTCTGTATATCTGACTTTCCAATAAAAAATAAATAAATAAAGGTTTATTCATTTTTATTGGAAAGGCAGATCAGATTGACAGAGAGGAGAGATAGAAAGATCTACCATCCATTGGTTCACTTCCCAAATGGCCGCAAGAGCTGGACTAAGGTGATTCAAAGCCAGGAGCCAGAAGCTTTTTCAAGGTCTCCCACACTGGTGTAGGATCCCAAGGCTTTGAGCCATTCTTTTCCAGGCCAGAGGCAGAAAGCTGGGTGGGAATAGCAAGGATACAAGTCAGTGCTTGCAAGGGGAAGAATAGCCAATTGAACGATTGCACTGGGCCCTAAAGTATAGC